ATTGACAGCCAAGATTAATACCAGGTCTTATCGAAAGTGGGACAATTCCTTGTGAAATGCCCGGTTAAATAAACCCCAGTGAAGCTCCAACAATTATTATTATTATTCATCTGGAGTGGCACCGATCCAACTAATTTCGGTTATTATTGTTGTTGAGCAGGGTGCTAAAGTCGAGCTCATTGATGGGTTGCAATCTTCGTGATGAATGTATAACGGTAGTGGGGCACCTACTGCCAAGCTGCACACACATTATTTTGGTAGTTTGGCCAAAGGAAAGTGATAACCTTGCTGATATCCTTACTAGAGACCAGAAAAAGTAGAATATTCAATGTACGCTTCAACCGACAAACATTACTTTTTGTTATTGAGCTAACCCCTTGGTTTACATATCATCGGGAAAAAAAGTGGCTCAGTCAGAGAAGGAACAGCAAAGCCTCATCTATCTTGCACAGCCACTATCTGCGTAAAGAACAGTCATCTGGACCGAGTTCTCCAGCAACATGGGAACTGAGCAAAACGGACATCTTCCTCACTTCATACAATCTCGACATGTCCATCGTCAACGTTCCGTCTTGCTGAAACTGTGCAAAGACTTCGCAGCGCCACATTTCCTTTGAACAGAAACCAGTTAACTTCCTGGCTATGGATGCAACATCCGGGAACTTTTCTAGAATTCTACATTCATAGTCTCACTTTCAACACTAAATCAACAAGAATGTTGTTAAGCCGTAATCCAGCTCCATACTCATGTGTAATCCATGAAAATCTCTGAGTCGAACATCTCACAAATCACCATGACCCATATAACCATCACCACTGCCATCATCACTCACCTGCACCACATTATTTATTTCTATTTCAAGGCCATTTCCTAAATTTTCTTCAGCTGGACAAGCCACGCTTGTTGGCTTTTTTTTCTCGAGCCACCACGGCTTTCTAGGCGAGAGCTTCCTGGAAATTGATGACAGCATTATTTAGGGGAACACCATCCTGGAGACGATCCTCCATCTGCTACCACCTCGAGTCTCATCTGCCGCAAGGTTCCACTGGCTACAAGCATTTGCCACAAAGGCCCTCACACTCATATCCACCCAATTCCAAGAGGCATACCGCTTACAGTCCCTCGTGAAAACCCAGCACCAAGAGCTCACACGGTGTCCATTTAGATTTAAAGCTTTCGTGACTGCAGGGATTCATCTTCTTGGTTCTTTCGGTAAAGTCACGTAGAATGGAAATAATGAAAAAATAATAAAACGTAAAAAAATATAATATAATCATTATTTTATTATGTTGTATTTATTATTTTATTATTTCCATTCTACGTGACTTTACCGAAAGAACCAAGAAGACGGTGTCCATTCTTATTTGCTTGTTCATTACCCAGACTGTCAATTTAGTAATTTACGATTGAAAATATTTAGCTATGTTCTCGTACAAGATGCCAGGAGTAAACGAAGGAAATACGCACTCACTAAAATCATCCTGCACCTGATTGGCGTCTAGTTTCATCTCTGCAGTATATGAAACGTGCATAACAATGCATATTGCGGACAAGAAAAATGACAAGAGTTGACACCGTCGATACAAAACAATGATTTACTTGAGCATGAACAATCTCAAGTCACTGAACGGAACACGTAAGACAAGCAGTCTCAAGTCTTAACGTGATTATTGATGAATAAGAATTGACACACGATTGCTTGTACAATACCCTGCAGACCAGATGGTAGCAGCTACAAACCGTTCCCTTCATTAAAGCACAATGACCATGGGATTAGGTATTTTAATCCATTCCCCAAACACAGCATGCTAAAAGCACAGTTCCTCGTCCCCAATGGTTTGGGATCAACCAATGATAAGGTTGAAAAATCTAAAAACACACGAGTTGCAGGCAAAGTGGTGCAGTCGATAGTTCTGTTGATGAAAACTTTCTTGCTGACGGAACTCAGCCCAATGGGCTAAATGGGTGCAACTCATAATACGCCAAAATACGTCATCTGGTCCAACACCATGTGAGACTAGACTATAAGAAAAGCTGTCTCGGGTGTGGACCAATCAATTTCAAGGACAGTGCATACATTATCAGAGTTGTGTTTTTTGTTTGCATTCCGACCGCAGGTTTTGTGGTCAATGCAAACATGACTCCTTGTAAAAAAAAGGTGTCAGTTTTGTTGCCAGATAAAAGGGTAAAACATACAATTATCATATTTTGCTACTGGCAAAGGAGGTTCCAATGGTGGGTACAACTCATTCAGGTGGGCAACAATACGAGAAGGTACCTCAACGCCAACAGTGGCACAAGCACATGGAGCGCCTTCCTAGTTCGAGTAGCTCGGGCACAGCCACCACGAGACCACACTTTCCTCGGGTGTAGTTGAGTGCCCCTGAACGGGTGCGAAGTCTGCCTGACTCGATACCATCTATAGGAAGGGAAGCTGCAGGTGAAGTAACCTCAATAGCAATGATGAATGAGGTGTTAGAAGAAAAATTAAAAATATGTTATCTCAAAGACTCGCTGGTGAATCGGCGTTAAGCGATCAGCTTTCATGTAGATCGTGCAGCATCAATCGTACTTGGAACATTGGCAATACCTCTGGCGTACTCGACTGCAGAGTACTGTGCTTCTAAAGCTCAGTCTTGCAGCTAAATCATAAATCACGGATAGCTATACACCTACCCGTTCTTCAGATCCGTTCCGATGATGTACACGAAAGGGGTAATCGTGTTGATTTAAAGCACTCCATGTACACGTACGTCATCAGAACAAAATCAGGAGAAAAACCGACAAAATTACTTTATCGGTACCGAGGCTGTATCGGTACAGTTCTCTGTGGTGAGTAAAATGTCTTGAAAAACCATGGCGTGGTGCCCCTCTAAATAAAATGTACGCTTGAACCGCTTGCACGTTGTGAGATTCAGCGTTGAACAGGACACTCACCCTGCAGCTTGCAGTCTTCTCGGAACGGGAGAGGGTTAACAGCCTTGCCACCCTGCTCAGGACTACACTGGCCCTGTTCTCACTAATCTGCTTGAGGAATGTAGTATGCAAGGTAGAATGCATTCAAGGAGCATTGCACCTTAACAAAAGAAAACCGTGATGTCGTTTTCTACTACAAGAATTGGGCCCATCATCGTTATGCATAACGACTTCTACGTAAAAGTACAAAGTGAGCACAAAGGTGAACCAATCATTTAGGGCCAAGAAATTCAATGGAGGCTCAACAATAAATTTGTAATTTACTCACTTAGATGCACTTTAGTAGCAGAATTCCGTACAATCATAACACAATACTATTCTGTAATCTCATTCCAAGATTCACATACAATTTTCACACGTAATGTTAAAAGCTTTTTTTCCTATAATTTGCTATGGAACTGTAACCAGTGGAATTTGGGCAAAACTTAAAATAAATAATAAAAATTGGAATGTTTGCTATCTAGGGCCTATGTGCCCAGTGCAGATAAAAAAAAAATTCGAAGGAACGTCAAAAAAAATAACCAGAGTAACATTTGTCAAAGCAAAACTCCGACAAGGAAAAATGACAATCAACACACACGTACAACTTTACTCAACCATTACGTAATATAAGTACGTGAGAGCACATCTCAATAAGTTTGACTGTCATGACAAAGACAAATACATGAAAATAGCCAGTATGGAACCGACTATTCTCAAATTAGTGTTAAAGAGAAACCTTAAATCGGGCCACCGTTACTAGGACTGTTTACCCAGGGGAAGCCACACGAAGAGTCCAATGACTCTTTTTCATGATGGTCCCTACATTGTATGTCTTTATATTAAGCTATTTTCAGCTGTGCAATGAATGTTTTACGCACGTGGGCTGCAACCGCAGCATCAATGCCATACGGACAGGACAGACGATATTAGTCCACACTGGCTCTACCGCTTTTAAACTAAACGAAACTACAGTAAAACCTTGGATTGCGAGCATAATTCGTTCCGGAAACGTGTTTGTAATCCAAAGCACTCTTATATCAGTTGTGATCACGTGACGCTCGGCAGACAAAGCGTATACACGTACTACTCGTATTGCAAGACCTCGCTCGTTTATCAAATTAATATTTAAACTTTTTGCTCGTCTTGCAAAACACTCGCAGACCAAGTTACTCGCAATCCAAAGTTTTACTGTATTTATTTTTCTACAGGTTAAGCCCCAGTGAGCCCAAGAGCTCTTTTTTAAGAAGCGACTTGGCCACAAAATGATAACTCAATGAAGCGGTTTTTCACGTGGAAATGTATAGCAGTCAAATGCCATCAACGCACGTTTCTAAATGTGGAGGGAAAAAAAACCGAAGGATCCAGAGAAATCTCCACGCGACCACAGGGAGAGAGAGACACGCAAACTCCAAGTATACAGGCATCGTCAGGGTTGGGATCGAACCCACGATCTCCCGTATACCGGGCGACGTAGTAAACATCTACGCCACCGTGGTGCCAGTCAGAGTGATAGCAACCCGGCGCCCTACGGGAGGGAAGAGAGTCGCAAAACATTTGTGCGATCCACCAATGCTCCCTGCCTCCACAGTGCTGGCTTGCCGGCGTGGAACACCACTACTGCCTGGCAAAGATTCCCTTGTAGTTGTGAAGCATTACTCTCATCAGGGGACACTTGTATGTAAAGGTTTTCCCTTTTTTCCCGTCGGGTTTCTTCATAGCAATTACCAGTGTCATACACAGAATGCAAGAACAATTATGGTAATACTTGATTTTTGATAGATAATGGCATTTTTTGGTGTTACGTTTCATAACAGTTCATGCCAAACATAAAATGTTTACCTATTTATTGTACTTCTACAAATTATTAATTACATATCCCTTTCACTATTCCCAGGTTTAAGTGTAACCTATTTAACGTCTCCATAAAAAAAAAACGCGAGTGCCAATGTTACACTGGTTTAAATAACCTTACAAGCTTCGCTTTCTTTCCCCACCCGCCCCCCCCTCCTGTTGGACCACCACTTCACAACGCCCACTCGAATACGGCAATACATCTTCGGCGCGCAATCCGGAACAGGGTCACGCGCGTTACGTGCGTGGCGGCCCCCACAGATAGTTACTACAGCAAGAAATAACAGTTCATCATCATCATCAACACCGTAAAGGGTGCATCGTTACGTACACAATTTCAACAATACCAAGTATCGTTGAATATAAGATTATCATGTGTCAATCAAAGCAAACACAAAGGAGTATATATGGCATGCTATGAACGCATAATTTAACAATGGTCAATGGATGCTACATTTTCTATGCTTTTGTATAATCCCAAGCATCCCAATACTGCAATATGTTATTTTGTTATTTTACCAAACTTTTGCGTTGAAGTAACGATAAGGAATCATATCCATCTTTAGCACCACACTCTACACGAGGTGAATGAGAAAATATCCCACGTCGATCACATGCTAGTATCCATTCATGTTCCGCACGGAAGATAATACAATGATATCATATTCCTGCCAAATGAGCACGCGTATTTTCTTTTTTCGTAAAATGTACATTTTCAAAAACTATCTACAATACGCTTTAAAAAAAAAAACGTATTCACTTGTCATTTGTATTCATGTGCAGAAATGCTACTTTAAAGTCGATGTATTATAAGCCACGGATGCTGCACACAGAAAACAACTCAAGTGGATCGAAAGTGCAGTCTTTTGTTCATTCACGTGAAGTTGATATTTAAATAAGTCTGCAACCAAATCATCATCTGCTAGAAATTACGACAAATTGAAACACCTGCTGCAAAAGTGGACATTGTTGACCGCTTTACACTGGCAGAAGCAGCTCATTATACGTGCAGGTGTCAAAGCTAAAATCTGAAAATGACGTACAATTAAATCGAGTAACATGAATGTCCCACCATGAATTTCATTAGCCAGGTGCCCTCTATACAATGTGATAATGAGCATCAATTAACTCTGAGCTAATTAAAGGAATTCAGTAGAGTAAAATAAAACTTACTCGTCATCATATAAGCTGTATTAAGAAACCAAATTATTTTCTGTTAATAAAAATGTACGTTCGGGAAGAGTAATGCATTATTACTTTGAAACATTTATATATAAGCCGCAGACATTAAGAAAATAAACAACATCTCGGGATAAACAAATCAGACGGATATCCTCACAAAAAGAGGCGGTAAACAAAGAATACCGCTGCAAATGAAAAAAATATATACGAAAAAAAGTCACAAACCGTACAAAGTAAAAGACAAGTAAATAAGGCAAAAAAAAGTGAGGAGAGAAAAAAAATTCCAACTACAATAACACGGTCTTGATTTCCATTTTCTTTGTTTGCTAGAATGTTCCCTGCCGTCATCCCACACAAGAAACCCCACAGGCCCGCTAGTTACTCCAGCCACTCCTACAGCTCCCGTTACAATGACCCCGATACAGCAACGCACAATGCCACTAAAAGGATTCTGGAATCCTGGAGCGAGGCGGTCTCTTGGGGCTTCAGGCAGCTCACTTTCTCTTTCCATCATTTCTATCCAAGCTGGATAGCCCTGCTTTAAAAAAGAAAATACAGCTTGGCCAAGCCAATTCATTAAAAGGGTCCTCTGCATTATTCACATTATTGGTTGTTGCGCTTAGCGTTGTGTGTGTGTGTGTGTGCGCACAAGCGCATGCAAGTGCACGACGCACATCTTAGGGTTCACACTGGAGTAAACATAAGGCACACGGATAGTGCACGCACGCGATATTCACACAATTCACATTCTGCAGAATTAAGAATTTAAACAATAGGCCCCTCCTGATGTTTTTTGACGGAAAAAAACCCAACGCATTTCATTCGACTCATTGGATTCTAGCTCCAGGTCCGATCTTCTGCAGACTCTGGATACGGAGTGTTAAATAGCACTGTGACTGGTTTATCCATTGTATTAAATGTTTTCTACACCCATAAAACCATACACACAGAGGAGCTGTTTATAAAAAGTATACCCTTTTCGATAGTTCTATTTGAAAAGAGACTCCGACCACGCTTCCTATACCACCCCCATCCACAAACGACTCAAGAGATTGGTCCAATGCTTCCTTTTCCATATGACAGACCGTCTTAAATCACTGACAATTAAAATGTATACATGAGGTCTACAGAAGTACTTGCATTACCATTTAGAAAACTTCTGAATGCTTCACCATTCATGCTAGGCTGTGCTTATTCAAAAACCAGCACGTACCATAAGTATAACATCGACTGCACAGCTACAAGTGCTGAAGATGCAAACATTATCACAATGCAGTTAAGCTCTCAACTCTCCCCAGGCCTCCTTCCCCAACTGAGCTCGCATAACAGTTTTGCAGTTATAGCTCCACTGCCGCTTGCCAAACTTTCCATTGCAAAATGCCTTTCGTCAGCCATTATTTTCTGTCACTTGGGATGTCTGGTGATGACTCATTCATTACCGTAATTTTCAAAAATGTTTACGCTATTGGCAAGAATTAAGGTTCTACTTTGGGAGCACATGAAACTACTTTCACTTAGAAAAAAGCGAGTTAAAGAAATGTTTTTTAAGACATTTAAGCCCTTAATATATGGTGCAATATACTTTAGCAAAATCATAACATTTAAGCGATCGCTTTTTTTGCGTGTGCGCGTTTCTATATTTCCAAATTTGTCACGTAAAACAGAAGGATGTCAAAAGGGCTGGCAATGCACAGAATCGCACCGCATACTTTACCTTGCAAAAAATATTTCCGACAGCCTCAATGTACGTTGAATTAATTGAAGTTGTCGGATGCGCTCGTTCACAGCCACTACGGCAGAATGGCTGCGAATGTCCGTTTTTCGATTAAATTGTCAGCGCTGACGGACTTTCGCAGAGAAGTCTTCGATAAATCTCTGTATTTGTCTTCACAGAGACGGGAGATGGCCTGGAAAGGGAATTTTTTTCTCAAGTTAACGTCAACAGATCCCAACATTTGTAACGAGCTACCATCCGTTTTTTGTCAAGTTATATCTGCATCAAAACGCCTCGTTTAAAATAGACTAATGCTGAAGTCATACTTTACGATAACAATGCCAGGCATCAATACCAAACAAGACACTACAATAACACAGGTTTAAATGTGAACAAGGCAGCCGAATAAACCTATACAATTCTCCTGCTAATTCGATCTTTATTTGGATCTCTTAAGCCTCAGACACCACTAAATGGCACTTCATCATCTTAAGTTAATCAAGACTGCATATGGAAACTGCATACCCATAACATCTGGGATGATAATGAGCTTGTGAGCCAAGTCCAAAGCTTAAATGGTGCAAGACAAAACAGGAATGTGTGCAGCCTGGGTTTACCTAGAACGGATCAGCAGGTGCATGCACATACCCGAGTTCATTTCACACAGTTCCTTTAAAGCCCAGGGACGTATTTTTTTAAATTACGATTTTAAAACGTTATCAATTCTAAACTTTGGCAGTTCTAACAAAAAAAGCACGTGCTCATATTATCCAAGGTTATATCAGAAGGCCCCTAAGGTTGCAGAGAGTCCATGATGGTACACACTTTGTATATAAGGATTTGCATTTACAAGGCGTTTAAATGCCTCCGCTACTCAAAGTACTTGCTTGGTATCACGTCATCTTAACCATTTTAATGGCCTGCGGCAGGTCTGGCCTAGGCAGCTGCCCCTGTGCAGCACAAGGTTTACACAGCATCAGCCTTCAACTGGGCATTCATGTGTCAGTAGGGGGGGGCAATATTGCTACGTGATTTTTCCAATTAAATAATTCTGCTGTAAATTTACCAAAAAATATATATACACATGTCCAAGACAAAATAACAGTAATTATCACCCTGTCAGGAAACTAAATGTGTTTAATACGTTTGGCTGTATCGTAATGCGCGCAAGAGAATGCACGCATCCTCACCTCCAGTCTATGGGCCCTCTCCTTGCAGAGGGGCTCCAGAGGGAAGCTCAAATTGTTGCAGTCGGCCAGCGAACGGAGGTCAAAGTAATACTTGGCATAAACACTTGCTGGGACGTTGATGTTAAACTGCAGCAGCTCTAGAAACTGCCTCTCCAGTTCATTCCTGTGGGGGGGGGGGGGGGAGGAAAAAATTACCCCAATGAGCACAAATCATCACGCAGCAGCTCAAGTATGTGTTTGACGGGCACGACGCCAACCCGGTAAGGAGCCCTCAGATATGGAGGCATCTACGTTGAGGCGCCCCTCGCTCTGCGAAAGGTGGAACAAAATAAATGATTAAACTTTAGCAACTGTTACGTTGTCAATACACGAAAGGACATGGTCAAACGTATGGTTTTCTCTCGAGTATCATATTATTGTGTATATACAATAAGCGTATTATACATCCAATCGAATGGTTATAACAGGCAATTAATCTACTTATGTGTAAATTAACCAAGTTTGGTAGCAATTCAGATAATTAAAAGACTATTCTCAGAAGCAGAATCTTCATTCAGACTGAAGGAATCCGATGAGTTATGAAACTCTTTCACAGATGTCCAGTATTCTAAGTAGGGGATGATTGGCAAGGGACAGGAGGCGCATGCGTGTATGTATGTTGTTGAACTTCTTTTGCACAATACATATCCAACCGCGCGAATCAGAGTTGCGGGCAAAGGACAACAAACTAAACACAAAAAGCAGTTCCAAAGAAATGAGTTTTCAATCTAGATTTGAAAGTGCATAGCTCCGGTGGCTTCCTAATAGCAGGAAGCATGAACTAACACATTAGTCAGTAACTCCGCCATGAAAGGCCCAACTTCATAGCACATAGATCATAGGTGGAATAACACTGCATCTCTATTATGTTGAAAACTATTCTGAATTGTAAATTTGTCATATGCAACTGGATTTGTTACTTAGTCAATATGAAAGTGCTTTTGGATTATTCCATACATAGCGTAACTGTATCTTATTGAAACTCAAGTAGAGTTTTGTGATGTTGTTCTACTGTTTACATGCATCCTGTATTGCTTTGTTCCAGGTCTCCCTTAAAAAAGAGAGACGTTTAAATTCAACAGGTTATTCACCTGCTTTAAATTGTGTATTTAAAAAAAGAAAATTCTTAAGATAACACTTTACACATCCGTTATCAAAAATGTAAACATACCTTTTGATTAAAGCACCATTTCCTCTACTCCAACAAAGATCACTTGTATAATATTCAGTGTCAATACAATGTGTATGTACTTTACGTTTGCATGAAAACTTGGCCACTGAGAGATCTATAAGAAAGCAAAGGGTACGATGAACGAAACAAATTTTTTTATTTTACCAGGTAAGGCCCACTGAGCTAAGTAGCTCTTTTTTAGAAGCGACCTGGCCACAAATGATAGCTCAACAAAGTGGCTTATCACATGGAAATGTATAGCAGCAAAATGCCCTAAATGCATGTTCCTAAATGTGGAGAGAAAAATCCACGCGACCACAGGAAGAGCATGCAGACTCTAAATATACAGGCGTCAGGGTCGGGATCGAACCCACGACCTCCTGTATACCAGGGCGAGGTCGTTAACATCTCCTAGCCACCGTGGCGCCCACAATACACGAGGGCACAGCAGAGAGAGACAGCTGTGGAGGCACGCACACGTCATCGACAGCGATGTCCTTGAGGATCTGGCAGTAGTCCACATTCCACACAGCTTGGTCATCCCACACCTTGGAGGACAGCAGGATGGCTCCCAACAGTATCCGCTTCCAGTTGCTGGGGCAGATGTCGATCTCGCCGTAAGTCATCAGCCTTTCAACGTACACCTGCAGGGAGAGTGTCCACAGAAAGCACAAGTTTCAATTTAGATTTTTTGGTATTAGTAGTTTCTTTTCACCGAAATCCACAGAAGGTAACCGCACGGTCCTGTTCACAGGCACTTCCGTAAAGAAGTCCTCGTCTGACAGACGGCATGAGTGGAGTAAAGCGTAATGCGATGATGTAAAGGAACAAGTTGATGACAATTAACAAATGATAGGATTAATTTGACTAATGGTACCTGGTAGATGGTCTAGGCATGCCTTCTTACCAGAGTGATAATGGCACATTCAGCTGTGAGTTGGGCTGCGCTGAAAAGGTTTCTCAGGAAGCGGTAGATGTGCCTGTGCTCCGGGTCGTTAACACTGTAGTCCACTGGCACTTCCACTTTCTGGAACAAGGAGTGCACGTTAGGTTCTTTTCCATGTTTTTAAATGACAGCTCAACGCGAGCCCGGCACAAAATGCCGATCGCAGCACGGATGGGGTGGGGGGGGGCAGAAACCCCCGCGAACGGCAGCTCGATTTCGGCGTGACAGGTGCCCAACGAAGCGGGGGGGGGATTGTGCTCGCTGTCCCACCCAGGTGGGGGACCGCGTGCAAGGGCCTTGAAGGCTTACATGGGGAGGGGAAGGGGAGTAAGATACATAACATATTGGGGGAAGCAAAGGGACAGCGGGAGGAGGGGGAAGGGCACATTAGGTTATTTGTCAACATAGAAGTGTCAATTCACGTAACTTTTACAGCTAAGAGAAGCATTGTTTACATTAGTAAGTATGCATGTTACGCACATCAAGTCCTGTCGAAAATCCATGATTGTTATGGAATACATTTCCTCTGGCTTTGCAGCGCACTACCACTTACAGGAAGTGCACAATTACTACCCAGTCATGTAGATATATGTTTATGTAGGCTGACCTCATTTCACTACACTCATGCCAACGAACACTCATGCCATGCAAAATCTCAAGGATAACTACAAAAGCTGCGAGGATGAGTGTGTTTGCCAATAGATCATCCCAAAGGACAGATCCCCTGAAAATGGATGGAATTCAAGTGGTGAAATAAACCTTCTTCAAGCTATGCTTCTGCACATTCGTCAATAAAATGTGCAGAAGGAGCTAATATACTCGCATTTAACATGTTATAGGTTAATTAGCTTCTTATAGTAATAGGTTTTTACTCTTTCAAATGGTACAAAAATGGACACCTTTATACAAGGGATCATGTTTGCAATAACCACAACACAAGTAGTCAAAATGCAAACAAAAAGAAACAACTCTGATAATGATATGCACTGTCCTTGAAGTTGATTGGTCCACACTCGAGACAGCTTTTCTTAGAGCCTAGTCTCCATTGGTGTTGGACCAGATGTTACTTTTTGTTTACATTTTGACTGCTTGTGTTGTGGTTATTGCAAACATGATCCCTTGTATAAAGGTGTAAGTTTTTGTACCAGTTGCCACTGGTAAAGGAGGTCTCATAGGGTAATTAGCTTCTTGTTAACAAGCCAACATTGGACCTTATGCCTCAGTGTATCTTTGTCCGTTGACTCCTAGACAAAAACCTCCTCACAACAACTCAGTTATGGCAGTTGTTTGACCATACTTCACCACGGCGGTCAGAGTGGGTTGGTGATGGGGGCGGCTAGGACTTGTTCAGACAGCATTCACCACTGATATTAACCGTGGATGGGATTCAAACTTAGGCCGCAAGACTTGTGCGTGAAGAGCAGGGTGCGAAACACCGCAGCACCGCTTACTCCGTAATCGCCTGTGAAGTGCGGTACCCAACGCATCTGGTAGAAGGGTCTACAGTGTCTTGTAATGTAACGAGGTATAAATGCCAGCTGAATAACACTGCAATGACTTATAACTGGAGATAAAACGGGATACACAAGGCAACGAGTGCATTTTTATAATTGTACAGAAGCTCATTGTGCGCTGGTTTACTGATCGTAAAACGAGTGTGTTTATTCAGGTAGAAATAAGATAACGTTAGTCCATGAGTGTATGGGCTTCTTGGAGCAATGCTTTCCATCAACACTTGATTAATCGGCAAAAAGTCTGGACTGCATTCGACTTTCCGAGTCTCAAGAGCAGTGTGAGGAAGGCCAGAGCCATCCACACAACGCAGCAGGGCCTGTTCAACACAAAACACTACAATTCTGTCGCGTTTCGTGTGTATGTTTCGACACAATTAATTACCTTTAAGCCTACAAGACAGTGGTCAACGCATTTCGAGCAATTATCCTGTTTTGAAAATACAGTGGTCCCTCCATCAGTGTGGTGATTATGCTACCGTGTCTAATTTACCCTCAACTATAACTACTTTGCCTGGGGTTTAACAGCTTTCGTATCATACTCTTCAACAAAGTACACAAAACACTGAATTAGTGAACATATTATCTCTATATATATAAAATGGAAATTTGTGACTATGTGTGTCTGTTCAAAATGTTTAGCGTACTTCCCGACATGCAACAAACTTGAAATTTGCCATGTGGGTACTTTCCAGACTGTACACCATGCAAAAATTATAAAAATACACTTTTGTATTTTTTTGGGGTGGGGAGGGGGAGCTCAATAATGCATATTTTTTAGCCCGGAAAGTGAGCTGTGACGTCACATCTGTCATGTGACCCGCGCATGCGTAGTGCTTAGCGCGCTGCGCTACGAACTCGGCGACCCAAGTTCGATTCTCGCTCACGGCCACCACCGGTGACGATTATTTGAACCGGTCCTGGGCCTCCCCTAGGTCGACTCAACCTCAAACGAGTAATGGGTTTGGTGTGAACATCGCCACTGAGAATACAAAGGCGGCCGGGCATGGTGAATCCAAGTACCGGACAAAGCCGGGTAGTAAAGCTAGTATACTATATAGATTCATCATATATAACAATCTCATTATACCCCTTGCTGAATACCTAGGTTTAAACATAACAAAGAAGTACATTTGATATTTTCAGAATTTAGATGAGTTTTTTTGCATTAAGCAGCCTAGAAAATCTCCATACACTTTATTGCTCAACTAATTCTAACTGTAAATATATACAATTTTAGCTCATTTAGCCCTTCTGGAACATAATTATAATTTACACCATCCGAATCAGTCGCTTATTCACTTACGACCGGCTCTATACAGGCTAGATAATTAAAATCTATTGAACAACAATGTAGTTTAAATTAAAACAAGTGTTGGCTTCAACTTAACATAAGTATGAATCTATAATTCAGTGAAGAGTAAAACGTACTCCGTCTACTTTACTCACCGTTAAAGGATGACGTTTCTCATCAAATATGTCAAGAGTTCGGATAGTAGTATCCCTGTGAATGACAAACAATTACACTTAGAAAATATCGATACGAATACAATTTTATAATAAGGACATTTTATTGAAGACAAAAATATGCAACCATTAGATAAAGTGAAAGGGTTACAAAAAAAGACCTCATCTGGGCATCGGTATTCTGCAGGATATCGAAGCTACACCAGCAACAACACCACGTGACTTTCGTGTTGCCACAAAAGCTTCACGCTCATGCGTCGCCGTTTCAGGTGCATCACTGAAACGTTTCATATTTACCGTGCCGCTAAACATTGTTCAAATATAAAATGAAAAGCTAAAGTACAGCAACTACGCTATGGTAACCAGGGACAAATTTTGGGATGGTAATATGTCCCCCATCATTTGTAACATTTTCACAAATGGTTCAGGGACAAAAATGGAGATGACCACCACCCAATGGAAACTCGTTGACTGGAATTCTTAATACCAAAAAAACTCCTTCGCTCCACTTGACTTCATATTACATTGGTGTTAATTACGCAGGGTGATACAATGGGGTAAGATAATCATAATGCGATAAAACCTAAGTGTTTTCTTACATTTTCAGTTACTTTTCGGTGCCACTTAGTAGCAGGAACATTGAGATGGTAAGTGCTAACCATATATATGAAACCACTAAACCATTTTTCAGTATAACACAATTGTCACAGACATTCACCAATCCTTGTGAAAATATACCAGCGTTACACTGGCAGCTGTCATGTACTGTATCCATGCATCGATGTCTTAATATCAACTTTTAAAACAAATATCCACAACTAAATCATGCATACTATGAATGGATGGTTAAACAGGTGAATCTCATAAAAATGAATCTCAATAGTTGTATCACGTGGTTATTGTCCTGCGTTTTGAGAATAACAGAATATTCCTTGAATAAACAGCCGTATGTAAATCTGCTCTTACCTGTTTTTAATGTGGTAGTATATTGCAAGTGCCACGCTGCAATTAAAAGACAACATTATTTGAAAGTATTTTCTTACGTAATTTAAATTTAAGTCAACATGCACAGAGGCATGAATATTTTTTGACATTTGAAGAAACCTACGGTAAATTAATTACAACAATAATTGAAGCAGCTTCGTATAATTTGGAAAGAATGTTTTTTCATACAATAAAAGTTACATACATTCAATTGCAAAATGATTTACGTTCACAATGAACTAGTCACACGATGCCAACAGACATACATGTCTGGTTTTAAATCGGGTCATCGCCAGTACATGTACACAGCCCACCAAATGAGTACATTAGAAGCTCAGTGGGTGGGTGAGTTCAAATTACCTAAAACTTCAGGTTGAATTACAATTACTTGTCCTAATTTCCTGCTGACTTCATTGTCTCAAGAATTATAGTGCAATATATTCCACGATGTTTTAACTTTTACAAAGTGTGCACTCACTTTTAGGTTGTGTCATTTAAAATAGAAGCCAACAAAATCTTGTGAAGTCAGTGAACAACACGAATAGCATTTCTCCATCATGGCACGAGATGTTTCGCTGAACAGGCAGACAATCTTAAATGGTGACCAATATATTAATTACTTCACCAACACAACTGTACATCATCAAAATAATTATCATTGAGTAATCCAAACCCCAATGCCCGTTAAGATTTTAAATTTAAAGAACCTGGGGTAAGGCAGCAAAAGTGTGCGCAGACAAAAATTGCTGAGGATTTACAGGAAGGTGGTTAAGAGACATGCTGGAGGAAATGCATAAAATAATCAAAGACACATGAGCAGGGAAAGGTTGTCAAATGACTGGGGAAACAACTCCAATATCGTACCATTATATAAGAATATAAAAGAGTGTACGAGTTCTACACGGATGCGTTTAATAAGCATTCCAGGAAAGATGTTCGTGAGAATTATTCTGCGGAGCATCTAAAATCACGTCAAACTGTGCTTAAAAAAAACCACACGATTGAGGATTCAAGCAGGGAGACCGTTATGTAGCAATGAAAGATTTTACTACCAGGCAAATAACAAGAGTAGAGCTGAAAAGTGAAGAGGATGTTTGGATTTATTCTGCAGCTTGTAAGCAAGCAGTATTATTCTGTTTGGACAGAAGGTACAGGGGAACTTCTGGGATATTATGGCATTCCCATAAAGAAAAGCTGTCTACTTAAAAATGTGTAAGGGATTTATGATGTTACATCTGAGATGTGTACACCAATAAATACACAAGAGTGTGGCTGATGATGAGGACCACTGTCTGGAAGAGGTGAATTTATCAACCACTTTGTTCAGCATATATGCAAGGGAGGAAGGAAGGCCGGTGACACAACCAGACTACGGAGTGGACACCCGTAGTGCAGCATTTTACGGACCTAGAAAGAAGATGGTGCATTACTGTAAGAGCCGACCCTTCCAGGATGATTGTGATATGTGGTGGCATTAACAGCTTTGGCATTGATGACCTCTTTACTTTCAAGGAAAGGGACATGCAATACAATAAAACCCTCTCTATCCGTGAGGGTTATGTCCTTGAAAACACTCGCGGATGCAGAATTCGCGAATGCAGAATTCGCGAATGCAGGAACCTTGTTCCAATGGGAAAAATGTATGTTACGTTCCCGGCACAAGTGAACATCGGGGGGGGAGGGGGTTGGAATGGTAAATGTTTAAACCAAATAATAAATTATAAGGAACAATTTATTTTTGTAATTATCTTTGATGATGATTTGATGACGATGGATGTGGTGGTGATGGTGAGGAATTCGGGAGGATGACTCCTCAGGAGATGCAGGTGTTTGATAACAACATCGTTAGCCGCAACACTGTCCTCGGTTGCATTCGCGTTCTTTTTAACGAACCTCACAGTCCACTCGTTTATACCAAGACGTATCAACGAGTCGAAGGTAAGGACGTATGAAGTAAAAATGCACTACAGCGAGTTTAGAGCGAGATAATAACTGCGAGACCGAGGACGACGCGGGCAGCCGAGGTGGCGTGGCCTAACCTTCGCAGACAGTTTCAAATGTAAAAGTCTGCACGCACCTCCCCGGTGAAGGTGGCCTGGCACGACGCACACCCGCGATTACTGGAGTCTGGCGGGTCGCGAATAGGGAATTAGTATGCATTTAGTAACTCACGAATAAGCGAAACTGGTTAACAGCATCTTCCTGGTTCTTTCGGTAAAGTCACGTAGAAGGGAAGTAATAAAATAATAAAAATAAAACATAATAAAATAATTCTCACGACGTTTCAGCCACAACACAAGCAGCCGTCCTCAGGTGAAGACCAGGTCTGTCGAGGCGACAGCATCTAAATGAAACACCACCATGCTTGGAACGTCTATTTAAGCTGGGTTGGAAGGGGGGGAAAGTGCGCATTGACAAAATAATCTGCATATCAAGAGGAATTTAGCATATTTATGGGAAATGCAGGAATGCGACTAGTACTACTCGTGAAATGCGTAGGTGGGCGGGGGTTTTTCAAAGTCATATTATGCCAATGCATTATGCAGGATTAGCAGCATCAAAGGGAGGGGATAGGGGTAGCATTAATAAAGGGAAGGAAGCATTTTAAAACCCTGCAGGAGGGTTTTTTTGTGCATCCCCTGTTGCTTCTGTCAAAACGAGTCCTGGGACACTCGACAGAAACTCGTGTTTACCCAGGACACGGAGCCCTGCACCACAGCAACAAAGTGGCATGGAGCGCTGGCTGTGAGGAATTCTGTGTGCAAGTGCCAAGCCAACACATGTACAACAGCGACCATGGCAACAGCTGCTCAAAGGGGGAGTATTGCCTTTACTTTGATGACATTTACATGGTGTCTGGTGGCAAGGCTACTCATCAAATTGGCAGAAGAGAACCGGGACAGGCGGTGAAGTGGTTTGAGGGCCAGGAGAGATGGCAGGGTCATAATATACGGTTACACGGAATCACATTTTATTCACTCAATTTTATTTGCTTATGTTTATGGTGCCAATTTCATCAAAGCCTGATAGAGTAAAGTCATTCTATATTTATTATAGCTGGATTGATGACCAAATCCAGTTTCATACACGGATCCCACCGTTTTTATGCATGTCAGAAAGACGAATAATTACAAGATAAAGCAGGATTTAGACAAGATACCTTCCTAGAACTAACTATTTAAAACTATTTTCATTTTACCAGTTAGGACTCACTGAGCTATACAGCTCTTTTTCAGAAACGACCTGGCCACAAATGATAACTCAAAAAAGTGGCTTATCATGTGGAAATGTATAGCAGCTATAAGGCACGTTTCTAAATGTGGAGGGAAAAACCAGAGGACCTGGATAAAAATCCATGTGACAACGGGGAGATCATGCAAACTCCAAATATACAGGCAGGGTCGTGGTTGAACCCACGACCTCCTGTATACCAGGCAAGATAGTTAACATCTCGCCACCATGGCGCACAGAAGGAATGGGCATGGACTAAACTGGTGACATGTCAAGCAAAGAAAGGAATATGAATGGACAATGACCAATTGGAATTGGAAGAAATAACTTGCATAATAGTATCTGGAGGCTAATCAAATCGTAACCTAAAAGCAATCAGGTCTCAGACTTGGGAATTCTAATAAAACTCCCACTTTTACAATATAAAATGCCATATATGGGTTATTTGATTAATACAACAATTCAGCTATCTTTATCAATCTTTTTAAAGTATGCGATGCAGTTAACAATCATATCCTAAATTCTAGACTAATAGCCTGAGGGCTTTAACATTGGCGTGCTGCAATGCAACAATTGGTTACGATGATGTGTTTTAATGCTGTATTCTTCAGAGCCTCAGGTCTCCCTCAAAATAAACACTCAGTTCCAATGAGCGCTCACCTAGTTTTCAATAAAGATCATCTAACTCTCAACATGTTGGTGGTAATGTAGATCGTGAATGCGCGTGGTCTATAAAGAGAACTGTGTAAAGTGCATATTACGGTTACATTCTAAATTACGAACATGAACTCGAGCTGCACATTAATTTTTTTACTACCTCACAAAACTGCAGAGGACACCGTGGCCATTTATAACACTGGCTCCGTGGACACGAGCAAGGTTCCGCCAGGGCTGATACTGTTGGTCACATGATCCCCGATACCCCACACAATCAACGTTGCGGAGCGTCACGGCCCACCGACGGGGAGAAGCGGCGGTGTCAGTGTGACCGCCGCCAGCTGACTATTGCACAGAGACAAAGCACGGGATGCAGGGCGCCCGGGCAAGCAGATATTTACGAGAGCAGGTCTGAGAGGAATACAGAGGGCATTCTGACCTTATAAATGTGAGTCTTAATACATTTGAGCCTTTACTCTTGTGCGACTTGATATTCTCGTTAAATAAAAGCTAAAGTAACCATGACTGTTCTAACTTAACCTATAAAAAAGGCATTACAGTAATCACACCTGAGAACCTTCAGAACTAACTTTGCAAGAAAAAACATAACTGAATATACCAATTAAAATGTTTTTTTAACATATGTCAATTAAAACGTTACATTGTCTCCAAGTTATTTAGAAGAGGGACCTATGTTTGAACGAGCAGACAAATATTAAATGAAACTGAAGTTCCTGGACAAAACCGATGCGAATGCAGGGCAATACTAAAACTGTGCAGAGATGTATCAGCAAGCCACTTGTTCTACTGCCAATCACTTAGAGCAGCAATGGGCAACCCAAACGAGTTGGTGGGTCACAGGAGCTGCCCTCTTTCACCTCATTGGGCCGCAAGCTTGACATCGTGCTTGTGCGCCGATCATGACCCCACGCATCGCCCGAGACCAGGGGTCAAGCAACCTGCTGCTCCGGAACCGCATGCGGCTATTTAATACCTACGTGACTTTACCGAAACAACCTCAGAGTATGAATCCTTGCAGTCAGGAAAGCTTCAAATCTAGAATTATTTAATGAGTGTTTCGTGACATTATTCCTTGAGGGCCACCGTCTCGTATTCACATGCATTGCGCATATTGACATAACGAGTTGTTTTTACTTAATGGCTCTTCTTGTTATTTTGGTTGCAGCCCCCTGCTCAAGACACACTTGAGACCAGGCCATCGCAAGAGGCTCCGTGGGATGCATGCAGCCTGCAGGCCGCAGGTTGCCCCACCACTGCTGTAGAAGCTCTCCGAGTCGGGAAGAACATGCAGATAATGAAATCTGAGTAATCCACCAACGACGCCCCTTCCAAATTGTTTGATTACACCACACGCATAACCAAACAAAAGCATCTAATGTTGATTTGAATAAATTCAGCATGCAGTTGAGGGATGTTCCTGTTTAAATGCTTAAATGTTTACATATTGTCCACATGTTACAAGTCGCCAATACAAATCACTTGGAATGTGCATGGATCCAATTTGACTACTGTTGTCACGTAAGCCATCAGAATTCGACACGACACGAAGTCTCAAGGTGCACCTAGCTTGGCACAAGCGCCACAACCTGTACAAATCCCAAGCACCAGTGCAGGAAATGCATGCTGATATTTAGCACTCGGCACGACAACGTGATCAAGTTTAAATTCAAATTGCAAACAAGTCAAAAGAGTTTCACTGAACAGTGTAATCTAAGTCAATTGTTTTTGTGGGTTAGATCGCGTAAATATATAAATGTGTCGTTAAAACCCGCCACCACCCGACACAGCCAACTAGTAAGGGTTGTCACGTAAACAGAACGTGCCAATTCGTCACTACTACAGCAAACCGGTGTGTTGGAGAGCCAAGCCACAACATTTACAATCTGAGTACGACGTTTCGCCAGTAATTACAACTAGCTTCATCAGGCGACAGCCAGATTTGTGGAAAAGTCTCTTACTGTTCAGTTCCTTATATAGAGGCGTAGATGTGTTGACCACCCTTCTGCGGTCTTGCACAATTATGGGGGGCGGGATTACTGAGGCAATGTACATTATGTATGTGCATTATGCGAGCCCTTTGAACTTGTCCTTCCTGTCTATTGTGTTTATTAAAATAGCCCTACCAACGGTAATCCCTATTGAAGTACGCTGCCCTTTATAGGCATGCATTTAAATAATGTATTATTTGATGATTTGCTTCCACGCAGCACTAAGACGGTAGCTATCCGAACGGTTAAAGTTATTTTGATTTCTTTCCATTTCGATAGATTCTCTAATTAGTGTTGGCCAGTAGTTGCTAGTTTTGCACAAAGCTTCAACATTATCTAAATCAATTGAGCGTCCTTGTTGGCACGCGTGTTCTGCTACTGCTGACAGTTGCATTTGGGAGAATTTTATATTTCGCTGATGTCCTTTTAGTCTCGTGCTGATCATTCGTCCTGTTTGCCCAACATAACATTTACCACACGTGCAGTTAATCCTGTACACACGTTCTGTTGATAGCTTCGGTGATACATATTTTGTACCAGATATTAAATTCCGTATTTTATGTACCGTGCCAAATCTGACTCGGATGGTGGTGGGTTTTAACGACACATTTATAATTTTATACGCGATCTAACCCAAAAACCTATATTATGGATGATATTGGTCGCGAAAGCGTACGTGTTAATCTGTTTGTGTGTTTAGTTTGCTGTCCTCCTCCTGCACCTCCGATTAGCATGGTTGGGTGGTTTATAGCAATACAGTATATAATTTAACGTTGGGTTTCTATGGCAGTATATAGTACGGTGTAGACTCGTGTGATTTAAGAGAATAAAGTTTAGATGGAAGCATATTATATAATTTTTACGACGTAGAATTGTAATGTATTACTTACTGTTAGTAACTCAGCTTACTGTAGAGTATAGTAAGTATACTGATGATACTATGTAGTTTATACTTTAGTTGTTTACGTGTTAGTTTTAGTTACTGCAGCTACATACTATTAAAACTCCCTCCCTTTATTAATGCTACCCCTATCCCCTCCCTTTGATGCTGAATTAGTACTATTCAAATACCTGCATTTCCCATATCCTCTCCCTTTGATGCTGTTAATCCTGCATAATGCACATGCATATGTAGTACTAATCACATTCCTGCATTTCCCATAAATATGCTAAATTCCTCTTGATATGCAAATTCCTTTGTCAAGGCGCCCAGCTTATATATATGCTCCAAGCTCGTGTGCTGTTTAATTCAGACTCTGTCGCCTCGACAGACCTGGTTTTCACCTGAGGACGGCTGCTTGCGTTGTGGCCGAAACGTCGTGAGAATTATTTTATTGTGTTTTATTTTTATTATTTTATTACTTCCCTTCTACGTGACTTTACCGAAAGAACCAAGAAGATAGCATGGTTGGCTATGTACGGTGTGAAAGAAGTTCAAACAAACATGCATAAATGTTTGCATTTTTTTAAAGAAAGAATTTCTCTCTGTTTCGTAACGCGTCTGTGCTCCAATTGGTGGCATCGTGTTCTGTCAACCGCAGATTAAGTGCGTCCACTTCCCTGACTCACCATTTAATAGTGTATTTAAGGTTGGGCTGGCTCACTGTGCTGTCATCGAGAAATATGGTTGAGCAGGAGCTGTACTTCTTCGAAATTTGGGCAGGAGATACCTACAAGGCACAATCCATAAAAGTGGTGTAAATTATCACTCACGCAGCGCACAAAAGTTACAACAATAAATAATCTTTTTTTCTAAAGCAAATTAAATACTCCCTGATGAATCACAGTTACACACAGCTGTAAAGGTATTGGAGCTTGTTACGCAAAGGGTTTCCAAAAAGCCGAAAGGTTTAAGCAAATAAAAAAACATTTTCTTCTCTGACATTTATGTTGGCTCCGTTCTAAAAAATTATTTCTTTCCCAGTATATTCCCTTCGATTAGTGAATACCGGTGGAAACAGGTAGGCAAAAACAACAACGTGGAGGCAGTGACATGGTACTCACCGTGACGCTCACATTATTTGAATAGTTACTCTTTCTCTTCTCTCTCACTGTAAAAACATATTTGGAAATTGTGGGAAACACACATGTCCTTGTTCACACACGTACAAGCAAATGGGTATGTCATCATGTTGACACGGCAAATAAACAGCTATTTAAAAAGTGAGGTTTGAATGAACATTACCATACACAGCCCTTTTGCCAATCCAACGATGGATGAAAGCCTCCACATACCAAGTGGGCTTGGGTGGTTACTTTACCATATTTCACCAGACTGGTTAGTACGGTTTGGTGAAGTATGCATCAACGTTGGAACGTAGTATGGTCTATCGATGTATTTTGCTGCACTGACCTGGAGCCGATAGGGTAGCCTCGCAATATCAATGCCTAATAACAACAATATATACAATAATCTTATACATTTCATAAGTTCTTATTTGCCAGAGCAGTACATGGAGGCATTAGATAGTTAACTTAGAGTAAAGTAATTCAATACATCCTCCAGAGTCCAAATATAAGTATGACTTTGTGATAAGTCATCAGCGGTTACCCTATGGAAAGACTTGGCTCTGCCACAGCAATGTGGAATTGTTCACCACTGCCCTAAGCAACCTTCAAAACATGCCGACTTCAATTAGCGGGAAATGGGTACGAAATAACTGTCCCAACATAAAGATGAGTTGAGATGTTAAAACATTTACCCTCTAATTTTTAATCCGAGGAAATGTTGACCGGTGAAAACGCAGCCTTTCATTGGACACAACCACCGATACCAAAAGCATGACCCTCCAAGCAGGCCCGCCTATATTGAGATATCTTTGTCAGGACAAATGAAAGGCTCAGTGAAAGCAAGCCCCCACACGAGTATATTGTGCCAGCAGCCAGCTGAAGCACAAGGTCACGTCAGGGCAAGACGAACAAAACAAATTCGTTCCGCTCCAGCGACAGTGGGGAGGGGGGAGATTGAAAGAGCAGCAGAACTCGGCAGTGACAGCCACGTTGCTTGTGGACATCACTCCACAGCACGTAAAACCATTTTTTTTCAATGTAAAAATTATTAAATGTCTTGAATATTTATCGCTGACATTGACATAATCACACACGAGAGACTGTCCTTTTCAGAGGTGCAGACAATGAAACGATTAATTCCAGATAATAGCATTAAAAAAATGTTGGCAAAAAAGGGATTACAATAAAATTGTACAACAACGAAAATACAATGAATACTGCAGTGACAGTGTAACATTTTTCTGGGCACAATCCACTCGTAAACGTTTGTTGTGCTAACACGACAGACGTCACACACACAGCTTAATCGCATTCACCTGTGATGCAAGGTAAAGGTAGAGTGCAAATTAAAAGGCACATATTTTAGGGTCGACTTAAAGATTGTTCACGGCAGTGTGAATCAAAATAAAAGGAATCCGATGAGCTATGAAACTCTTGCACGGATGTCCAGTAGGGGCGGATCAGCAAAAAGCCCGATAGGAGTGCAAAATAGAACAAGCCGTAATATAAGTACAAATGCCATAAGTAAATAAATTCCTGCCGATGTTTCAACACTAAATGCAAGCTAGGGCAAGGCGGCAAAACAACATTAACAGTCCCAAACCACACCAGTGTCAGACTACTCTGAGCCATAAGCAGAGGGGACGAAGGTTGGGGCTAGGCTAAGACATTCAAGTGAAGATCCAAGCACTTATGCAGGTATTTGTTGGACATGTGTGGTACATTTCAACGTAATGGGTTAATATGTAGACTGATGGCAATGTGGACTGAGTGAGACAGTTTGCCTGTTCAATGGAGGTGTGTTCCTCTTGCGAGTAGCTTTCTCATTTTTTTTTACATTTTGCCTTTCAGTACAGCAGCCAAAAAACATTGCACTGTGTAAGTTGTGGACTTAAATGAAGAAATTGTCTGGCAAAAAAATTAATCACAGCCATTTTGTCAATCCACTGCTGAATGAAGGCCTCCACCCTCTGTGTCAGTTGCTATTCTCACGGTTAAATTCTAGAGATAATAGTGATTTGCCTTATCCTGTGTTGGTTTGCCACAGTGGATAATTTGAAGCTTTAAGTGGTATCGAGAGAATGTGGGAGTGTGGGTCCCTACTAATCGGACCTGTCATCTGACGGGAAGGACAACGCTAACATTTTGTCATCACATTCAGCTGGGACTAGGGTATGAAGCATATAGCCACGTGCTCTGAATCGTAATGAACGTACGTATGCTGAACTTCTTTCGCACTGTACATAGCCAACCGTGCTAATCGGAGGTGCGGGGGAAGAACAACAAACAAAACACAAAACGCAGTTCGAAAGGAATGCATAGCTCCAGTGGCTTAACAATATCTGAAGGAAATTTAAGAACAAGTAAAAAGGCCAGCCTCTGCATAAATCCTGGGTATGCACATTAACACGAGCAATCGATTAAGTGGCTACACTAAAACATCGCCATGTACGAGGCCTGTACTAGTGCTTTAGCCCGAGGTGTGGTGCATCGAGGAGGCCCGTGACAGGCCACAGGCCTCAACTAAAAACTTGAGCCCTGTCCAAAATGGGGAAATTAAGACTTATGGACAGCCCTGGTACTGGTAAACAGCAATGATCACCTGGCGAGTGGGATGATGGAGAATACTATGACTTTGTGCTAAAGGTCAACATCTAAAAGGCCACCCGGGGGCACCAGGAGCACTGATCGGAGTCATGGTCTGCAAGGCTGGATAAGTTACGAAGCCTGGAATTGCCGAGCTGTAACTGCCAGTGATGTGCATGACCGATCCAGAAAGTCTGAGGCTGTGTTTACAGAATCAGTCAGGTGCTGCTGTGGTAAATAATACAATGATAGAAAAAAATGTATGCTCCAAAGGATAACAGCTACAGGGAATTGAAAGCCCTTTTCTATTTTTCAAAAATAATATAGCATAGGATTGCCTCGCTATTCACGAACTTCATAAGGCAATATCATTATCCGCGAAATTTGCTATTCACGACCATCTCTGTAACGTATCCCTCACGAAGTTACGAGGATTCCTTGTATGGTGCCAGGCAATATGGGACAAGGTGTGGGCCACGAACAGTGGCACTTGGTGGTAGTGCAATGCCACCTAGTGGCCAATACTTTGTATGAATTGTTTTCCGATGAAAACGCATTGAATATCACGAGGATTATTATCGGTCATGCTGAAATTGAAAATACCCGAAAAAAGGAAGAGCACGCCCATTGTAACAGCACCGTTTTAACAGGAATAGCATTCACTTTAATACGTAACTGGCTGAACTAGATATGCGCTAAGTGCTGTAACTAAACACATACCAAAATCAGAACACTCCAAATTTATCACGAATCGAATGCGGTTAGGGGGCACCCAGCTCGTATATCTTTGCCCACTCACCGTCAGGTTGTGATTTACTGAGGAATATGGTGTTGGCCCGAGGGTGGTCCGATGGGTTTGGCTCCAAATCGTTATCTGAAATGCATATTCAAAACAAGCATATAGATGGCATGTGGGTGTTTAAAAACAGGTGCAGTACATTAAATGTGTATTAGTTCACAGGCTGGAAAAATTACAGCAATATGGAGATGTGCTTTACAGTTTTGGCAAACTGATTAAACATGTGGTTGCTTTTAACACGTGATTAATAATTCTCAACAGTTTGCTATTCTACAGAGTGCAGCGGTGATTAAGTGGTTTGCACATTGTGCTATGAACCCAAGATACCCGAGTTTTAAGGGGCGCCATGGTGGCGAGATGTTAACTACCTTTCCAGGTACACAGGAGGTCGTGGGTTCGATCCCAACCCTGATGCCTATATATTTGGAGTTTGCATGTTCTCCACGTGGTCACGTGGAATTTTTCTCCAGGTACTGAGGTTTTCCTCCACATTTAGAAACATGCGTTTAAGAGTATTTGGCTGCTACAAATGTCCACATGATAAGCCACTTCGGTAAGCTATCATTTGTGGCCAGGACGCTTCTGAAAAAGAGCTATACAGCTCAGTGGGCCTTACCCAGTAAAATAAAAACTGTTTAGTATTATAGATTCATGACCACGGCTAACATCAGTGGCGAGTGATATCCGAGTGCCCTTTAATAATGCGCACTGACCAGTACGGTGAAGTTCGGTGGCTTACCCTCGGCCTCTTTATGTAGCAAGTTACTGATAAACATTTCCACCATTTATTTGAATGAGGGCTTGTAACCATGTGCACATGCATGTACATAAGCAGATACTGTACTCACTTGCAAATGGACAGGGGCACACAGACCCATTCATGGAAACATGAAGTCACCAAACATGAATGATATGTTCAAAATGTAGCCTTGTATGAGACGGCATACGATTAAAATGCACACATGCATGTACAAACAGTACATTAAGTGCACAACAACTTCTGCAAAGTGGTCGTTGAAAGCCCTTCCAGCAATATATGAATAAGTATAACCCGTAAAAACAAAGTTTTTCACTATAATTCCTTTATATGCGTGGTGGCTAGAGTCTTCTCGTCCTCTGGCTTGAGATGGCTGCCACCTATGGGTCAGATGATTGTCTGCCAGTATTAAGCAATTGGTAATTAAATATTTAATTTGTTTTCCCTAAACAGTGTAAAATTTTGGAATTTTTTTTTCCCACGAACATTAATTGTCTCGCACAACGAGTCTGTGTGCAAAATGTCAGCTCGATTGGATCACGAGAAGTGGGTTAAAAAACGACCGAAAGATGTGCACGGTCGTAAGCAAGCAAGCAAGCACGCAAGCAAGCAAGCAAGCGAACTTAATATAAAGGATTTAAAAAGTAGGGCACGGGCAAAGTTTTTCCTATTGTCTACAATTACCCGGTTTCACATGGCCATGGCTATGCTGAACTTGACACTGGCTTATCTATGGAATCAAAATTAAAACATACAGCCTTTTGTAAATCCATTGCTGGATGAAGGTCTCCCCATGCTGAATTGGACTAGTCGGTTGTGTGAACGTATTGCACAACGCTGCGAGTGAAGGGAGGTCCCCAGGACCGGATGAATTATCAAGTTAAAAATGTATTTTGTTTAACCAGGTGAGAACTCAAGAGACCAGGATAGACTATATGTCCAGAGTGACTTGGATCACCAAAAGAACTAAAGCAAAACAAATACAAGTACAGCAATGAAGTGAACAGAAATCAAAGCAAAAACACGATCACCCTTGGCTGAGAATCCAATTAAGGTAGCAGGATTCATAATGTAGTGTGCTAACTACTGCACCAATGCTACCCCCTAAAGAAAACAACATAACATGAAAACAGACAAAAAATCCCATTACAAAGGAAAACTGGGAATCCGTCACAATCGGTTTACATTATTGAGTCGATATGTATATACACATCACCTGGTATAGACAACAAATATCAGGAACGTATACAGTATAGTATTGCATAACTCATAAGCCCCCTTATATGGAGAATTAAAACATTGAAATATATTCCTAAAATCCATGCATGTGGCATAATGTCCAGAAGCTGCGTTGCACCAGCAGGCAGCGGTTTAGCAGAGGGATTGTGGTGCAATGGTGGGTTTGATTTTTGGTCTCTTCAATCTGATCTTTGTAAAAGGGTCATATTGGATGACCAAATCCATCATGCAAGCATTGAATTGTGACCCAACTAAGATCAGCTCACATCCTGATCGGCTGATCGGACCATCTCTGAAGAGCCGCTTGATAGAAGCCACTTACCTTAATTTGAACCTGATAATGATAATGTATATAGAAAATACAATATCATTGGTCTCTTGAACTCAGGGCCTGTATTTTAGGTTTAACATATTAAAGTATACCACCAGTGAGCCTCATTGGAAACACAAAACCTAGCTTGGGCATAAATATCGGTCTTTGATTTGATACTTACAAAATATAACTTGATATTGCAATTTATTTTTGACACTTAATAACCACTGTTTAATAAACATGGAATATATGGCCCCGAAGCTTGCCATAACGTAAGGGACCGTGGTGATTTACAGCCAACGTCAGTTGAGCGTGGACAATTAGACCCAAGCCGAAACAGAACATATAAAAATATTTTTTTAAATATTTTTTTTTTATGATAGAATATGGTATTGTCATCGGTATGACATACGTATACCAAGTTTGCAGTCCATACCACATTGGGAAGTGGGTAAAAATTTAGTTACCAGATTTGAGGATACAACCACGACACCAACAACAACAGACAGAGTGAGTTAAATAAAAGGGTGTAAAAATAGACTAATGTCCCCAAGGCAGGTACTGAACCTGTAAATTCCGCATGCCAATTGAAGGAGCTGGTGTCCTACCCCTCAGCTACAGCTTCTTGTCTGAGACGCTGCTTTTAACACACTTGTTGAAACACAAAGTTGTCACTTTTCTCATAGAATTCACCGTAAATATTTGCCTCATGGTTCCGTGTAACATATTGTTACCTTTAATTCAAAACCGATCTTGATAAGCCCATTCATATTGAAATTTGCCACCAAGCTTCTTCTTCTGTATGGCTGATGTAAATGCAGAGCAACAACTCGGATTCCACATTCAGGTGGTCAAGCCAAATAACCGCATCAGGAGTCGTGGAGTGTATCGCTGTGATGTCCGCTTCGTATTTGTGGATCGGGAATTGCGGCGTTATACGTTGTACGGCCTGTTCTGGATGACCACAGTCGCACACTGGAGTTTATTTCATTTTACATTTGTGCATCAGGTATCTGTCACGAAGCTGGTATATGATGAATCTGCTTATGCCAGGCTACATGTGACTTCCACATACTAATCAATATATGAATGTGCAGACCTTGTCAACACACTGTTCGATGAAGCCCGTCCTATACTGCGTCAATTATGGAGCTTATCAAATTAATTCATAAATACTCTTTGTGAAGCTATATAAAATCATGCAGAAAACTAAAGCGAATGAATAGCGGGTGGTCTCGGTAGTGTGGAGTACTGGATGTAATCTGATGTCTTCGAAAACAATGTGTGAACCCAGGCACGGCAAATCAACCAGCTTTAAAAATTCCATTGGCTTTCAATAAAACTGCAGTTCTGACAACTACAGTTATGTCGTAAATTATAGGCGTAACACAGAATGGTCTGAATAACCACGCGTTATCTTGTCATCTCAGTGGTATCGCTTAGTAAAATAATGTAGGGCAGGCATAAATGTGATCTCGCAAAAGATCACCATGGATACCAATGGCGAGTTTGAGGCCAAAATGTGAACTAATCTCTGTGAAAACACACGTCAGCGGCAAACAAACAATGAATAAATAAAGACAGCTTGCTTATATACAATTGCAACATTAATAAATACTACGTTCACACCATTCTTAGATAAAATAACTGCTTTACCGATGTAAAAATATGACAGAAAAATTAAGAATTTTCGAAAAATGCACGTTTTGTTAAAGCACATTCCTCAACTTTGGACAAATCACACCAAGGAAAATTATCAAAAACATGAGAAACATGCATGCATGCCAGAAGCAGAAGACACCATAACACAGGCAACATGAATGCCATCGCGGCCAAATTCACCCATCACTCATAGTTCAAGGCATGGCTTTGAGCATTTTAAAGATTAAAACCACAGCCTCCACCAGTAATAAAGTAGACGCGAAATTTAGTCAACCTCAAATCAACACATTATAACACATTATTTACAAAAATCATCCCTTAAAGCTGATCAACTACCTAGACGCTTAATTTATAACATGCAAGCATGAATAATACATCTACAATCTGTCTGATCATGGAATCCACCCAGATAATGCTTGCGCCTTGCCACAATAGGTTTTAAGATGCATTATCAATTTAAAGAGACATGCTTTTGGATAAACAGAGACCACATTGAAAAAAATTACCTTTAGTACTCAAAACTTCATACTGCTAAACATGAGAAAATTCAACTCAACGACGCAATGGCATGGCTCTCCCAAGCATCTTTATGGACATTTTAATTACAATAATCTCATAGATTAATCATTATAAATGTATAGCCCTTTGCCAATCCACTGTTGGATGAAGGCCTCCCCACACCGTGTCAGTTAGCACTGTTATGGGGGGCAGGGGGAGAGGGGGGTCCGTTTTATACGTAAACGTGCCACTAACCAGAAATAACTCTTCCTCCCATGCTAATATCTTGAAATAACTTTTTTAAACTAAACTATTTTTTTTACCAGGTAAGACCCACTGAGTTATTTAGCTATTTTCAGAAGCGACCTGGCCACAAATGATAGCTCAACGAAGTGGCTTATCATGTGGAAATTAATAGCAGCCAAATACTCTTAACGCATATTTCCAAATGTGGAGGGAAAAACTGGAGGACCCGGAGAAAAATCCACGCGACCACAGTGAGAACATGCAAACTCCAAATATACAATAGGTGTCAGGGTCGGGATCGAACCCAAGACCTCCTGTATACCAGGTGAGGTAGTTAATATCTTGCCACTGTGCCGTCCA